AGAAAAGCTTTGCAGAGAGTGGTGAAGGCTGCACAGAAGTCTGTCGGAATCAGCCTCCCCACCATCACAGACATCTACACCTCCAGATGCAGGAAGAGGGCCACCTGCATCATGAAGGACCCCACTCACCCAGCACACACACTTTTTGCCCCACTCCCCTCAGGAAGGAGGTTAAGGAGCATTAAGTGTAGAACCACTAGACTGAGGAACAGCTTCTACCCTGAGGCTGTTAGACTCATGAATCTCTAACTAGAATAATCACTGTGAAAAACCATATCATGTTGCTGCTGATCTGTTTCATGTTGCTGCTGATCTGTTTCAGTGTTGATGTGTTCATGCGTGCACATCTGCTCACAGACTCATGTTCATGTTTGTGCTGATGTTCAATGTTTTATGTTATGAGTGCTTAGTGTATATTTAGTTGATGTTTTTCTTAGTTCATATCTTAGATGTTATTACTGTTTTTCTTATACATTTTATTGTTGGATGTAACTGGGACCTTGTGTACATAATTTTGCTCCACCACATGTACCACATGAGGTGCGAATGACAATAAAGAAACTCTGACTCTGACTCTGACTCTGATTAGTACTACTATTAAGTATGCAGAAATAAACAAAGTCCATGCTCAATAATCCAGGTATACAATCCAACAATTTTCAGTTCAGATGACCTGACTGAAAATTGTTGGATTGCATATCTGGATTATTGAGCATGGACTTTGTTGGTTTTGAACCAGTTTGACATGACTGTCGACGAGGAAGAGGGCCAGCACCAGAGGAGGGGGCGTGCCAAAGAGACCATCTTAGCACCAACAGAACTGGTTTGTTCCACTTTGGAGTAAGCTGTTGGGGGAAGAATCAGTTTTGTGCTGTATGTTCCCTTGACTGATGAAGCCTTCTGGATGGAAGGTGAAACGTTTTAGCACACAAAAAAAAAAAAGAAACTGTCCAGATGACTTGACTGAAAATTTTTGGGTATGCAGAAATAGTTAGATTCTAAAAAGTAAAAAATGTGAAAATAATGGAAATTTTGAGAACAATTAATCAAAAAATTTAAAATACATTTGCATCACATAATATAAGCTTCTGAATATCCCCCTGGATATAAGACAATTTAATGGGACTGAATTGGGATTTTTTTTTATTTATACTGTTTGCTGTAAAGTTATGTTTTAAATACGAACTTAATTCATAATAAAAAGCTGTTTGAAATCTGAACATTTGAAAGAATTGGTTCTAGTAAAAGATGACATGAACCATGAACAAATGGAAAATAGGGCATATTACAATTATACTATTGAATGTTTCTGTTGTTTTATGCAAGCTGTCATAAATGTTTAAATTTTTAACCTAAATTCTATAAAACAGTTATTTTGGATTTTCCAATGCTTTATTTCAAAATATATAAAATTCCACGTTAATAAAATATTTAAATGAAATAAAATCTATTTTAGCATTTATATTTAATGAACGGAAGAAGCATTGCTTACTTCCGCTGTGACGTCATCACGGTTAGCAAAAATGGCTGCGCTCTGTGTGCGTGTTGTTGGATCGTTTCTAGGAAAATGTGTAAACTGCTCGAGTTTAAACCCAACCACTCTGCAATTGAGCCGACAGGTAAAGAAAAAATATATGACTCTTAAAATAGCCAGTCTGTCTCTTTAGCTAAATGGAAATATATTTAAATAACAAAAATACCTACGCCCTTGACTTAGCATTTTTCGCTATCCGAAACTGGCTCGACGGATGTTTAATTTTAAAACTAACCAACGTCAGAGTTTGTTGGGACAACACTTCTGATAGTTTTGTCGTCTTTATTTAAATGTTTGAGCTCTTTGCTACATTTCGGCTGTTGTTTGTTCGTCCAAATATTCATACAACTTGGGCAAATTATGCCCCATGCCTCTTTAGATATGCGTGAGCTCTGCTCTCAGCAAGAACAACGTGACGATTCCAAAACCCGAGAAGTTCACGCCGGAGTTCATCCAGAAGCAGATCGAAGAGTTTGAAATTGGTAAGCGGCACCTGGCTAACATGATGGGAGAGGATCCAGAAAACTTCACTCAGGAAGACATAGATGTAAGTTCAACTATCTTGCTAAAAACTGCTTTATTCCCACACATTAATATTCAACTACTAACCACGTGTGAATGTTTATGTTCACACTATTGTGATCCATTTTTCTTCTGTACGTTTTTCAGCATCTTTCTTGTTCCACAACTTTTGTGCTATTTCAACAAAACATACATCAAAATGTTCAGCTCTTTCAAGACAATCCTGCTCTGACTTTTGGTATTGGTGCAACTTTAGCTTTTTGAAATATTTAGCCTTTTCTGCATATTTTTTGCTCATAGAAAATGAATTGAGCTCATTTTACATGCTTCAAATCTTTAGATCTGTTTACAACATTTTACTGCTCCTTTCACATTTTGTTCTGGTTCAGCTAACTTGTGCAAATTTAAAACTTATTCTTTTGCTACTTTCAGCTAATTTTAGCAGGTTTTTTCAGCTGTTTTGTGCTCCTTTCAGATTCTTTCTGCCAACTACAACATTTTTGTGCTTCTTGTAACTTCTTTCTGCTAATTTCAGCTTGTTATGCTCCTTTCAGCTTATTTCAGCAAGTTGCAGCTTTTTCTGTTATTTCAGCTACTATTTAACTGTTTTATGCTAGTTTTAGCATTTTTAATTCCACATTTTTTGCACTCATTTCAACTTTTTCAGCCTAATTCTGCAAAAATATGTGCACTCTCCACTTCTGGTAATTTCAGCTTTCTGTTTTTTTTTAGCTACTTTTTAGTAAAAAATTTTTGCTAATTTCAGCTGTTTTCAGGTTATTTCTACTTTGCTCATTTCTGCTTCTTTAAGCCTAATTGGGCAAACACGTATTATTTCAGCTTTCTTTAGCTAATTTAAGCTTGTTCTATTTTTTTCAGTCACCTTTTTAGAAAATTTTAAGCGAATTTCAGCTGTTTTGAGATAAATTCAAGTTTTTCTTGGTAATTTCTGCTACTTTCAGCCTAACTTCTTTCTGCTGATTTCATCTTGTTTTGCTCCTTTCAGCTAGTTTCAGCTTTTTTTGCTATTTCAACTACTATTTAGCTGTTTTATGCAAATTTTAGTTTTTTCAGCTAATTCCACATTTTTTAGCTAATTTCAACTCTTTCCACTTCCTGCTCATAGGTTAAGCTTCTTTCTACCTTTTCGGCTACTTTTTAGTTGCTTTTTTTTTTTTTTTTTTGGTTGCTAATTTTAGCGTTTTTAGCTGATTTTAAATTTTTATGCTCATTTCTGCTTATTTAAACCTAATTCAGCAAATATATGTTCTTTCTGCTTTCTTCTGCTTATTTAGGCTTGTTCTTACATTTCAGCATGTTTTTAGCTAATTTCAGCTGTTTTATGGAAGTTCTTCTGCAATAAGCATTCACACTGCATTTTTGCAGGAAATGCAATTTCTCTAGTTAATAATAATTTAGTTTATTGTTTACCCATTCCTTCTTTTACTTCATGGGTAGATAATAAGTATTTTGAAGAAACAGTCCCATTTAAATTCTATGTAAAATTAAAAGGAGCCAAAACGATTTTTTTAAATAGTTTAATGTTAAAGAGCATCTTTCATTTTAAAGGTACTCATAGGAAGTATGAAACCAGACATAAAAAGTGTTATTTTAAACTGTACCCAATGGTGCAGTTTGAAAGATATTACTTGTGTAGTTTTCCAGATATACTGATTTGCAATTAAGAAATGTGGGTACGCACTCAGTGTAAATAAAGCACTCAACAGAATTAGTCAAAAACCATGTGAAAGAACTGGACCGATGTAGAATCAGAGTGGTTGTTTAGGTGGAAATGTCAGACTGAATATGCTCCTAAAATAAAAGAGAATAATTGAGTAAGACGACTAACGTCATAAAGACAGATCTCTACAATCAAATACACGTACATTTTGCAAAACATCTTCTAGACTGATGCATTTAATGTGCTATCTTTTATGTGCATATTTTATGAAGCATAAATTTGAACCAGTACATCAAAATGTTTTTGAAATTCTTCACCCCGTATTGCTCTTTCATGGTCCTCATGATTGTAAAACTATTTTTAGTCTCTTCAACGTAATGGTACTTTTTCCAGCTATTTAACTGTCAATAATGGTCCAACATTTTTCAGTCAGGTCATCTGGACAGTTACTTGTTTTTGTTGAGCATGGACTTTGTTGTCAATAATGGTGTACCACAAGGCTCAGTCTTAGGACCCACCCTCTTCACAATCTACATAATGTAGGTAACATTTCTATGAAGCATTGCAGATCAGAATCAGCTTTATTATCATTGCACCGAGATACGAGAACATGTCCGTTAGGAATGCGCGATATAAACTGTATACGGTAGAAACGATAGAAATTTAGCCTACGATAGAGATCTGTCTTCTACCGGCTAACCGCAGTAATGCTGTGTCTGAAGTAAAATCAGAGTTGTCAGATTGTTCCTTTTTTTTGTTGGAAACTGTGCGCAAGTGGCGTTTACGTCTTTTCTTCGAGGGCTAAGTAGCAAAGCTACAAGCTAACTACAGCCAGCTTGCCGTAGTGTTGCCGGATTCTGACGCATGCGCAAAACGCTGTGTTTCGTCAAAAGTTTTTTTTTTTCTCCATCGAAAGTTAAAGTAAGCGTTGGTCAGCTTTAGAGAAACCTGCTCTCTGATCTGTGAAAAGAATGCTGTGTTGTGTGATTTTACTGCGAGACCCTCTGGTCAAAGCCACAGACTCATTTTGTGTCAGCTCTCCTTAAAGCAGGAGGCGCCCACTAGAGGTTTGGAGGGTGAAGTGTTTTCAGTTGCTGCTCTGTTGCTGTTCATTTATTAAGTGAGACTGGAAACTGTTAAGAGTTAACAACATATTCTTTTGTTTAAAACATATGGATAAAACTACATTTGATATCTTTTGCACTGTTTTGCACTACAATAAAGAAGCCTAATACTTTATTTGTTTATTATTTAAAAACTCTCTGGACCTAGTAGTGGAATTTTCTTAATTCAAAATATATGATGGCAAAAGGACACCCTATGCTTTTTTTTTAGCAAGTTTTGTGCCAAAAACATATCGTGATATATATCGTTATTGCCACCCTTTACAATACAAATTGTGATGTGAATTTTATGCCATATCGCACATTCCTAATGTCCATACAGTCGTCCGTAAGACAGAATGCTTTTTTTTTTTTTTTTTTTTTTGATAAAAAAAGGGACAAAGCCAAGAGGAGAGGAGTAGTGGCATTACAAAAAAGATCTCTTCACACCGTGTCCTAATGGAACACGATTTAAGACATCAAAAAACTGCCAGCTAAAGCACATTTATGAACATGTTACATATGCATTTACAAACAAGGCGGTCTATGAAGCACTAACAGATAGTTCATTGTCCTGATAAGATGGGGGGTCAGCTGGCACAGTTCTAGTAGGACTCCACAGAAGTGTGTGTGTGTGTGTGGGTGGGGGGGGGGGGGGGGTTGCGATAGACAAAGCTTTTCCTTAGTTTACACATTTCCCAGGAGAAATTGATAAGTCGGCCTGTTCCGAGGCCAACTGGGGAGAGATTCATATAACCACAATTGTTGATTTATTCAGGCAGACTATTTTTCCTTGTAAGACTTGAGTTTGTACTGATAACGTTCCATGGTCCAAAATGGCCAGATTAGGGTGCATTCCACTGGTTGGTGCTTATGAGCCTTTTCAAGATGGTTTTCCATCCTGTCGAGTCCCAAAGCTGCAGGTGGCCTGCGATTCAAATCACTTCCAACTTAGTTTCGCTCGTAAATCCGCTGATTTTGAGTCCTCCAGCACGAACCAGACCTTCACATAGACAGCAGCCTGTCGAGGTCCAGATTAGCTGCGACCATCTTTTTTGTATGTTGATAAACCAGGATCCAGACTATTCCAACAACAGGAAACCTGTTATCATAAATCCAATTATATGCAATTTTGGCGTCCTCGGTCGATAGCAGAGGTAGACACATCACTCCCTGAGATATATCCAGCTGCATGCGTGTCGTCCGAGCAGATGAGGGTTCCGGACAGTGTTGCGTTGTTGAAAAAATTTTGCGATATACGTCGAAAGTCCAGTTGGTCAGATCCAAAACAGTCGTTTCCATTTCGGGAGATGTGTAAAAATAGGAGCTGCTCCGATACACAGACGGAAAGCAAAAAAAGCAGGAGGAGAACAGGGAGCGGGGAGAATGCGCGCGCCTCGTTAGCGAGCTAGTGACGAAAAAAACTATTAATATTTGATCAAAGAAGTACTGGAATAAATTGGAGTTGAAACAACCTCCACAAATACAAATATTAACCATATTGTTCTCAACGTTTATTAAATGAATAAATAAAAGTACAAGGGTGAAAATCAGCATTTATCATTTATGTGACCTAAAATTGGTGTTTTTTTATTGTTTTAACTTGCCAGGTTTTGGGAAAATAAAGAGAATCTTTTTTTTTCTCTCTCTCTTTTTTTGAGTCTTTTGGGCATTCGTGCTGCTGTTCGACGTAATGTTTTTATGCTACTAGTATATTTAGTTGACGTTTTTCTTAGTTCATATCTTAGATCTTATTACTGTTTTTATTTTACATTATAATTTTGGATGTAACTGGGACCCTGTGTACACAATTTCGTTCCACCACATGCACCACATGGAGTGCGAACGACAAATAAAGAATCTTGATTCCTTTAAACCTTGAATCCTTGAAAAAGCATAAATATGCATTTTAAGGTGCGGTGTAGGCTGTTATTTTATACACGCTGATTTCTCTGTTACTTTTAAGGCTGCTGATCAACTCCTGTCCCTATATACACCAAAATTATTAAGAAAATTCAGACTTACACTGACGTCAATTGGGTCTTTGTTTTGTTTTAAATTTTGTTTAGTTTGAAGGATTTGTGTTTAAAATTTTCAATTATCTAGAAAATAATTCAATATTCCCAGGTCTGAAAAGGCTGCCAGAATTGATCTGCGTTCCTGCTGAGTGGTTAAAGCTAAATAACTCTTAATTAAAGAATTTTAAAATTTTTACTTTTACATGCGTATTTTTTTTAAACA